GGCAATTACATACGAAAATTATGTTGGAAAATTACTGGGTGGGCAAATGGAAGAATCGAAGAACGGTACAACGGAACAACGGCGCTGACGGAGAGAAAGATGGAAGGACAAGAGTGATAGCGTGACTAACGCGCGCTTTGTCAGCGCCGGGATAATCGCATAGCGATTCTCGCGCATAATTCACTTTACTTTGACGCAATTTGCCATCTTGCGATCTTGCCCGGATAAAGCTCTCCACCTATGCGTGCGTATTGAGACGCGAGAACGGCCACCACCGTCGGCCAGAACAGCATTCTGACGGCGCGGCGTTTGAGGATTATTTATAAATGGGAAATAACTGGCGAAGCGCAATCACGCCAACGTAATAATACGCTGTAACGATTAATCGTGAAAATTAGTCGCGGCAATAAGAGAATAAATTAAAATGTATATATAGTTGTTGTAATTGAAATAAGAAGAGAAATTTCTAGGGCGAAAGAAAGTTCATATAAACATTTAACCAGGGTTGCCAAAATTTCATAACTGTTCTTCGATTTTCGGACAAAATGACTTTTCCCGATACTTTCGATAATATTTTTTGTATTTCCATCCTAATTCGGAAACCGACAAATATTTTATTGCGAGAGCAGTTTATAATATAAATTACTATTAATGTTGTTGACAGTGCTTCTATTTAATTATTAAGTTAGTAATATTTTTAAACTAAGTGTAATGTTTGCATATTAACCCGAATCTATAAAGTAGCATGACATTTTAGTATCTAAAAAAAATGACAGTTCCAGTAGCTCTCTCTCTCTCTCTCTCTCTCTCTCTCTCTCTCTCTCTCTCTCTCTCTCTTTATATAGTTCTATAGTTTCTTAACACACATAAAAACAATAAAAAAAAGTTCCACACTTTTAAATTAACATGCCATATGTTAAATTTTGGTTTATTGATATACCAATTGCGGAGCTTTTTTTGATCACATTTTCATGAAGAACTATAGAACAATAAAAAATGCTACTGAAACTGTCATTATTATTATTATTTTTTTTTTTACATTACTAAAATATCATGCTAACTTTATAAACCCGAGTTAATATACGTACATTGTATCGAGTTTGCGGATATATGGTATGCCTGTATGAACTTTTTTTCGATATATGGGGAGCTCGGTCTCCAAATTTCCTTTATTTTACTCCTTGTATAATTGACGGACAGAGCAGAACAATCGGACATGACCTTCGATAGTACGAATTCACGTCGATACGCGCGTGATTAAGCGGGACAAGGCGGAAATCGTCGCGTCGCGGCACATCACGTAATTATGGGGATTCTCGTGACGGTATGCTGACAGCTCAAAGCCCGGACCGGTTGCCGTGTAAACGGTATTAATCACAATACGCGTATTTGCGCGCACGTCGCATTGCTGCCGTACGTGTGCCGTTCATGTAACTATAGTTACCCCTGTAGATGTTTCAGCCATGTGCCTGTCCGCGCGCGCTGACAGTTCGTTTGAACGCAATTAGCGTGCCGCTCGCGATGGATAAGAGAACGAGAACGGCTCTCGGCTATCGTCCGCGCGATCGCCCGAGTCGAATTAACCATTTCGCCGCGCTCGTAGCGCCGCGATAGACGAGAGAGGCCAATCGTTTGACAGCCGAGACCGATCTTGCGTTGAGATACTATTTTTTCGAATCTACGTTTATCCCCGGTTACGCGATAAGCGCCTATTCCCGCGTAATTTGCACGAAACGGCGTACATTTTATTATCAAGTTTCTTGTACTTGAAAGTTAGTTTGCCGTCTTATAATACACGATGGTTGGTAGCCGACGCGTGATAAATCAAAATGTTAAAATGTAATATATCGATGCATGATGATGCACCGCGAGCGTGTACTGTTTAATTTACGAAAAAAGAAATTCTACATTATTTCGACGTTCGTAAGAAATACTTGTTAATATCAAGTCATATTTCATATTCTATGAAGATTGAAGCATTTTTTGTCCTTAATCTTTTCATTAATCGGATAAAACGTTAATGCGCTCGAATCGAATTGAAACGAATCGTTCATATTAAGCTAAGTGTTATACCAGATGAATAGGATAATCTCGATCGTGCCATTCTCGAGATACGACTCGACGTCAACGTCGGCGGTAATCGCGCGCGGTTATCAAAGCGGCAAGAAGAAGTAAAATATCTTACGACGCGTTTTCAACGCGTCCGTCGTTTTGCAACCGTCGATATTCTACTTCTTTGTGTGGACACGGCAGCTACGAAATGCCATGACCGTAAATGTAAATGGGCGACGTCATCTCGCTCGGTACGACGCAGGAGGGATAAGACGAAAGAAGGAGAGGCAGCAAGAAGCGAACCCCCCCCCCAAGCATGATGAAAAGAGAGGGAAGTAGAAAGAGTCGATCATAACGACGAGGCTCAACTTTATGAATATTATTTTCCAGCAGATGTCCTGGACGATAGGACGTCGTCGCCGTCGTCGTCGTAATTAATGACGTCGTGGGTGCGACGGGGAGGGTAGGCTCCAAGTTCGGAATAGGTTGAAAAGAGACAGAGAGGAGTACACAAGGTACGGATCGGGAGTGGCGGGAGAGGGGACGAGTACGGAGAGACGCGGAGGCAGGCAACGCGTAAGGGGATGCCTGACGATAAGGAACCCGTAGCAAGGCAGCGAGAAACTGATGGCGGATGGTAGTTGGACGACGACAGACAATGCGCCTGAATTATGCCGGAATGACTGGGTAGTTTTAAAGCCAGGAAGCCGACATTAGCGCATTGATACCGAACATTCTGACTGCGGGGAACCATTAATATTACTTACTTCATAACGCGCGAGCCGCTGCCGCAACGTGCCCGAGGGTCGACGGGAGCGCGATGGAAGCCGCGTGTCTCTCGCAGCTCCGCCTTCATCCGCTTGTAACAACTGCTTATCCCCGCCAGTCGTATATTTCCAAAATTTCACTTTGTAAATATTATTCACGATAAAAAAGGGAAACAATCGATGGATGCAATTATAATTGTGATGTCGACAAAAATTTGCGGCTACGCAACTATAAACGCCGCTGGCACACGGGAAAAAAAAACTTAAGCAGTAAAACGCGATACACCATGATACACCAGGTTGATGCAAGATTTAATTGACCGAGCGCGCTGGCGGATAGACTTGAGGGGGGAAATGAGAGTTTTCCTCCAAGCGAGTAGATCAAATGGATTAGCGAGAACAAATCATCGGGATTAAAACACGGTAGCGGCGAAGGGGGTGAGCGAGGGCGAAACAAACGGCAGAAGGAGCAACGCAGTCTTCGGGCTTCGCAGGCTTGAAACGTTGTAAAATCAAAAGGACAAACAATTAATAAAGTCGGCGCCGTCGATTAATCAGAATTTAACTCGCAGTTAAATACTCGAGGATCGCCCTCGGCTGCTGGCGCGGCTGCCGGCGCGTATCTCGAGGGAACGAACGAACGCGCGGGCCACGCAGGATAAACAAAGGTTTACATCAGTGTCAGTCGCAACAAGTCCGAATTCGTCTAGGGTTCCCGCCATGAATATTCACGGTGCGCCCGCCGGTCCGCCGGCCCTTC